TGTCCTGCTGGGCCGTGTCCTGTCCTGCAGTGTCCTGCTGGGCCCTGACGCCCTGTTCCTCTTGCTCCCCCAGGAGCCTCCCCCGGCAGGTGCACCATGTGGTCCCTCCAGGCGGCGTCTCAGAGGAGTACCTGCGCAGCTTCAGGCCCTACCCCACCGCCGACGACCTGCGCATGCCATCGCTGCCCCCGCTGGGCCTGGACCCCGCCGCCGCCGCCGCCTACTACCACCCCAGCTACCTGCCCCACCCCTCCTTCTCGGCTTACAGGTACGGGTGCGCCCGCCGTGAGCGCGGGCAGCGCTGAGCTTCCCACAGGTCAGCGGGGAGCCAAGAGCTCGTCTCCCTTAAACTACACATGAGAGTTTGCAATGTTGTCCAGCATTCAAAAACATTTTGGAGAATACATTTTTTTTACACGGTGAAGTGTGTGAAGGAAGTGTGTTTTTTACACGGTGTAACTAATAAATGCAGTCATTTCTGTTAGTATTAAGAATGTTTTTAAGCTTGTAAGATGAAACTGCAGGTGTAGCAGCTAAACTCAGGCTGTGTTGGTGGCTTTGTCTCCGGGGAGTGAGGGTCTCTGGGCCTGTGGGCGGGGAGAGCCACAGGAAGTATGTCCAGTTTTCCTGTCTTGCTCTGGTGTCTGTAGGAGAAGGAGGCCTGAACTAGAGGCCTCTGTTATACCTGACCAGTTGTTTATTTAGTTGCTAGAAGTTTATTTATCTGGTGATCTGCGATGAATTTCATGCTTAATGGAAGAAGAGCAAGAAGCTGATCGTGGGCCTGACTCTCCTCTGTCTTCTCCAGGATGGACGACTCGTTCTGCTTGTCGGCCCTGCGGTCTCCCTTTTACCCCCTCCACACCGCGGGCGCTCTGCCCCCCCTGCACCCCTCGGCGGTACACGTGCACCTGCCGGGAGTGAGGTACCCTGGGGAGCTGGCCCACTCCTCGATCTCCGCGCTGCAGTCGGAGCGCATCTCCGAGAGGTACGGTCGCAGCCGCTGGCCTGCCGGGGGCGCCGCGTGTCTCCTTTTAGCTGTGGACCCACAATCGGAGCAGCGCAGCCCAGCACTGCGTCGTCCCCCTGTCCCGGTCTGCCTCACTGCACAGGCGGTGCTGTAATAACACTGCAGACACCAGCACAAAGTTCTGCATCAGCAGTACCTGGCTTCATAAAAATTTGTGAGCTGCTAACAATTAAACCACAATGCAAGATCCTGCACAGTTAGTGTATTTGTAGAACTGTGTGCTATGCTTGTCAGACGCAATGCACCTAAAATAGCTGTTTGGAATTAAAGGCAGAGGTGCTTAAAACTTTAAATGTTCTGTTGTTAGTTGCTTTTCCGAATGTTTTTTTTCCAGTTACATTTGTCTGGGCACTGAAGGTATTCTTTATTGAAGATGGAGATCAATGGCAGATCGATGTGCGAGTTGCTTTGTTACAGTGTAGTTTGAGAGGCAGTTATACGTTGCTACAGTTATACACCCAGCATCACCCTATATCCTATGTAGCTGAAAGACATTTTTAGAAAATACATTCTCGGTATACTGACTGTTTTGGCAGATCAAGTTAAACCAGGGGTCCTGGAGGAAAAAACACCTGCTGCCGTTATTCCGGTTATAGAATCGCTAATTGAACTAATAGGTGTCTTGATTGGATTATTTGCCTTTTGGGGAATTCCGTCTTGATTGCGGTCGGGACCTTGACGCGAGTGCTGCTCTCGAGGGGGTGAAGGGTCACAGCTCCGGCGCCCTGCTTCTGTCTCCGCAGGCTGCAGATGGAGGACGAGCTGCGCCAGCGGGAGCGCGAGAGGGAGCGGGAGCGCGAGAGGGAGCGCGAGCGCGAGAGGGAGCGCGAGGCCGAGCGGGAGAAGGAGAGAGAGAGGGAGCGCGAGAGGGAACGGGAGAAGGAGCTGGAGCGCGAGAGGGAGAGGGAGCGCGAGCGCGAGAGGGAGAAGGAGAGGGAGCGCGAGGCTGAGAGGCAGAAGGAGAGGGCGCGGGAGAAGGAGCTGCAGGCGTCCAAAGCCCTGGAGAATCACTACCTGGCCGACCTGCACCTCCTGAGGGGACAGCCTGCCGAGGACCGCGCCAAGCCTGCGGAGAGGCTGACGCCCAGCCGGCCAGGTGAGCCAGGGAGCGGGACTCCTCTTCCCGGAGATCACTTCTGTACAAGTCCACACTCACGTGCAGGAGGCCTCCCGGGACCCGCAGCCCGGACACCACGCCAGTTATGTGGTACACTTACCTTGTGTCTGCAGCAGCACAAAGTACAGAGCGCACCACCGAAAGCACACACTGAAAATGTTATAAACTCCCCAGTTCCCCTGACGCGAAGGCGGTGGGCACAGATCAGCCCATTAACACCTCCAACACCTGCAGGGAAATCAGAAGGTTTTTAAGCTCTTTTAAGAGACATCAGGGTAGGTGCAGTAACTGTTTGTTGATTCTATACAAGTCCAATTTCATAAGCTGCTGACAGGATTGTATTACTTGTATGTGCATGTAGCACAACTTTAAAAAGTTTTTTTTAATGAAAATGTATATATTTATATACCCCCAGAACACTTTTTAATGTTTTCTTTGCGTGCGTGCACAGACGTGCAATGATTTCAATCTAAAAGAATATATAAAGCATTTGGTTTATTTACTCCAAGTGTCTAAAGTAAAATGCAGAGGCTGAACACATTCTTCAGTAACCAGGCAGTTTGAATAGCTGTATTCACTAAATGCTCGCAGAGTGCTGATTTCCCAAAGCATGTTGCACACAGATTTACACATTATACCCATTTTTTCCTTAGTGCTTTCACGTGCTTGTTTAAACTTTTAATTTAACTTGGTTCTTTGGTCACTCCTTAGTGTGAAAAATACTTAACTTCAAAGGTACTGTTTCCAAGAACTTCAGAAACAGAACTTGACACAGCCTCATCTTAACTTGCATGCTGTCATTTCAGACTACACAGCTCTGACTTGTGTCTGCCCATCATTTGCATGAACATCTTTACTGTCAGTTTTCATTTTGGCCTTATCAATGTGCGAACAGTTATGTTTAAAACATTAAAAGCAATACACCAAAATGTGAATTTATATTAGCCCTAAACGCAAAGTTTTGAGGTCACTGTCAGGAGGAAGATAAGAGGAAAATCTTTTATTTTGAAAGGAAAAGGGTCTTTTAAGATACAGGGTCTCTCACATTTCCATGTACTTTGCAGAATGTCAGCTGCACATGCTGACAGTCCAATAAAAAGGGAGTGAACCCTGGGTCTGTCAGAGCTCTCAGCCTTCTTCTGCTTCACTGAACTGGGACCCCAGACGGGGAAGCAAAGCTACTGAGCTCAAGAAGCAGATTTAGTGAATATTTTGCTTTGAATGGCAGAACCTCCTTGAGTGCAGCGTGTTCCACCATTCCAAGCAAAACACATTTGTGGCCTGTGATTCTCCCTCTCATTTTACCTTTCACATGCAGCTTGGGACCCATCTCATGCTTCTGTGATTTCAATGCACAGAGTTGTTGTACTGTTACAGTATGTACTTTATATAAGTAAAAATAGACTTCTGCAGTCCATCAGTATTTCTGTAACTCATGGAAGATTCTACATAACTACACTTTCTTGGGGATTATATTATATTTATTATTTTTCCATATTTTGGACATGATCTACAAAACGCTTTCACAGGGGCCTAATATTAGGATGAATACTGTCATGTGGTTTAGCACAGCACTGGAGTTTGAAACTGGAGTTTATGTATGCATGTTTTACACGTTAACTTCGTTAGAATAATTCTGAACTTGTGGTGCAGTTTTTTCACCGGGTGCTCTCGGTTTCCCCTGCCTACCGAAGACTTGGCTGGCTGGTTAAATCGGGGGCATCTGTGCCCTGTGATGAGCTGGCATGCCGTATGGAATGTCAACTTAAGCCCAAACGCAGCTTTATCCATCCATCCTCCAGCCATGTCATCCAGTCCCGTGTCACCGGGCAGGGCGCCAGGTCATCGCAGGGCCGGCACCCAGACACCCACACCTGCGCCTGTTTCCCCAGACGCAGACGGCACCCTGGGAATTGAGCCCACGGCCCCTGCTCTGCGATGTGCTTTGCTAGCAGGGTGCCACCCCCGACACAGCTATAAAGGATCTTTATTTTCTTTTCTCTCCAGACAAAACCAAAGAGCCTGTTCTCCCTGCGCCGAAGCCAGTCCAGCCAGGCCTGCATTCTGCCCCGGTGTCCTCGCCCCACCACGCAGTGCCCAGCCTCATCTCTGCCCACGGGGGGTACCTGGGGCCAGGCGGTGGGCTGGGGGTGGGCAGCTCGGCCTCGGGGTCCCTGGCAGCCGCCATGCTGCTGCAGCGCACCAACGAGGAGGAGAAGTGGCTGGCGCGCCAGAGGAAGCTGAGGCAGGAGAAGGAGGACAGGCAGTTCCAGGTGTCGGAGTTCCGGCAGCAGGTCCTGGAGCAGCACCTGGACATCACCCGGCCCGCGGAGGGGGAGCCGCGTCTGGAGGGCCACCGGTGAGGCCCCCCACAGTACACTCCCAGCATACACAGCAGTGCTGTCACCTCTCTAGGGACACTGCAGGCCGGCCGGGGAATACACCACGTTACTGCAGAACAGAGGCGTTCACACCTGCAGAAAAGCACGGATACGATCTGTAGTGTGGGTGATGTAACCGTGTGTGTGATCCCATACGTGTTTTAAGAACCCGCTGGTCATGTGGTAAATCACTCTGTATAGATCTGGCACACAAAGGTGTTTCCTTGTGTTAATCTGTCTCTCGCCGCTGCGCGTCAGTCTTCCTGTTCGGAGGGAAACTCGTCATCCTGCAGGGCGGGAACAAACAGCTGCTGTGTCACCGAAGCCTGTCTTCTGTGGCAGGTGTGGCCTGCTCACCAGCCTCCTCCGAGCCCCGTGGAGCTGCTCTCTAGCATGAGAGGGGAGCAGCAGATATGGAAAGATGTAATTTGTTGATATTTATAAATAGTAAATCTATCCAGTGAGACGTTGTGTTTCCAGTGAGAGGAACAGGACCCTCTTTGTCGGGTTTTCCTCACTTGACTGGTGCTCGCCCTCTGTGAGCTGCTGTGTAATTTCGCCTGGCTTTGTGCCGGCAGCCTTCGCCGCTGACGAGACCCTATTGTTATTGTTCATCTGGCGGATTAAAGCTCCAAGCAGGTTTAATGGGAGGAGATTGTGGGTCAGCCACACAATAGCTAATTCTCCCTTCATCCTCAGCACCTTGTATAATTCGTTATTTTTTTCTTCTCCGTAATATCTGCTTTTGGCCCCGGCTTCTTCGGCATTATTGAGGTCAATCCTAATTAATACTATAATACTAGGCTTGTGCTAGGGATGTGAAGTAGACACACCTCCTGTTGGTAATCCTGATTGATAATTATATTGTTCCCCTGTGTTATGCAGAGGGACTGCATTAAACAGATAGAATGAAAACTAGCAGGCCAGAGAGCTGTGATTAACATAATCTGTTTGGGTGGTGGATAGCTGTTTAATTAGCTAGTTTAGCTGAATTAACTGTGATGCTTTTAAAGTTATTGCCTTCCCCGTTCTTTTAGCGCACTTTTAAGCAACTTTGGATGACATACAGGGAAATGAAAATAACGTGAACTGACACGTGATGCAGCCATTTGTGTTTTTGCTTCCACAAGCCCATATGTGTTCCAGGGAAAAGCCTCTAAGTCCACTGTGTTGTCTCAGAGGACCGTCTTTCCTGTCTAAATGAAGTAGCTTGTAGTTTTTTCCCTCTGGGTTTGTGTCTCAGGCTAATGAACGCTGGCTCTGGGTTGGTGGGTTACATCTCAAATGCCTTCTCTTGCCCTGTTCCAGGCCGATCCCTAACCACCATGAGCCAGGCAGCAGAGACGTGCTCCAACACCTGGGGGCGCCCCCCCCTCTGATCTCCCCCAAACCCCAGCACCGAGAGCACCCTCCCCCGCCCGCCACCACCCTTTGGAACCCCGCGTCCCTCATCGAGAGCCCGTCCGAGTCCAGGCGCAGCCACGAGCCCCCCCACTACAAGGCCGAGCGCACCTTCGGCTCCGACAGGCCGGAGGAGGCCGGCAGGAGGAGGGAGCCCCTGGACAAGTTCCCTCCTGCCCGGGCCGGCGGGAGCTTCCTGGAGCCCAGCACCTTCCTGGCGGAGCTGGAGAAGTCCACACAGACCATCCTGAGCCAGCAGAGGGCCTCGCTGTCCCTGTCCCTGCCCAGCCCGTACGGCGACCTGGGCGCGGCCCTCAAGCCCAGCGGCCCCTGCAGGGGTGCGCCGGCGCCCCCCCGGGGCTCCGACCCCATGCTGGTGTACGACGAGTTCCTGCAGCAGCACCGCCGGCTGGTCAGCAAGCTGGACCTGGAGGAGCGGCGGCGCCGGGAGGCCCGCGAGAAGGGTGAGGCTCGCAGCCGGGCACCGCCGTCTGGGCAGGGAAGCGCTTTGTCCAAGTGCGCACTCGTTAGGGACCGCACGTGTTTGACGGCTGAAGGGTGAAAGATGTTAAGATGTTGTTTTTTATTTGGGGGTTAGTCGTAGGTGAAAAGATGTGCAGGTTTAGGGGTGTCATTCCAGACCGCTAACAGCGTGTCATGGGAAGACTGACAGGCGGGGCAGGAGCAGAGCGCTTTTCTGCGTCTTCGTGCTTTGAGAAAGACATTCGTAGAGGCCTCATCGCTGAGCGACCTCACACCTGGCTGGACAGAAGCCGCTCGCTCCCGCGTCCCCCAGCCCGGCTGGTGGATCGGGCTCCGGGCGGCGGCCGGGAGCCGTGGCGTCTCCCGGACTGGGAGCAGCAGTGTCGCTGGCCTAGTCTGGGGGGGGGACAAGCGGTTCTGTGGTGGACTTGTTTCTCCTCCCTGCCACTGCTCCTCAGAAAAGTTCCACTTGCCGGCTAATTAAGACAGCCGCTGACAGGCGGGAGCCGGGCCTGACGTGCGGGGGAGCACTCCGCTGTCACCCCCTGTCTCAGCGCCGCTCTGTTCCCTCTAATTAGGCTATTACTACGACTTGGACGACTCGTACGACGAGAGCGACGAGGAGGAGGTGCGGGCCCACCTGCGCCGCGTGGCCGAGCAGCCGCCGCTCAAGCTGGACGACTCGTCCGAGGTAACTCCTGCTCCTGTCGTTGTCTGGGATTTGCGCGCCTGGGGGGGGGGGGCGTCTTTTTTGTGTGGGGAGAGGAGCGGCAGGGAAGCGGACGGCGTGCGGCGCTCTCCTTGCTGTGAGCCCGCGCTCCAGCAGCAGAAATGAATTGCCCTTGTGTTCAAATTGTACAGCTCGCTGTGCAAATAAATGTGTATTTTATAAAACCATTTATGTCCCTTCAAACCACAAACAGCTTGTGAAAGCGTACACAGCGCGCCGCGAGTGTCCTCCTTTAGTCAGACCTAACAAACTGCTCTGCCAGTACCTCAGCTGTAATGGGCGCCGCAGTTGCCCTCCCTCCTCCGCGGTGCTCCACACTTCCTGAGCTTCAGCCCCAGGGGGCAGGCCTGTGCCGGCGGCCCCTCAGCTCTGCAGGCAAGGTGACAGCCCCGGCCTGTCTTGGCTTGACGCCTCCTCGCAGCCTGCGCTTCCTGCTCAAGCCAACTGCTGGCGTGTCGCCTGCCTGGGGGGGGCAGCCCCAGCGCCCCCCTCCCCCCCACTGACCCCACATGCGGCTCTTCTGTGCCCCTGCAGAAGACGGGGTTCCTGCGGCTGTTCGGCCTGACCACGCGCGCCCACCGGGAGCAGCTGCTGGAGCAGAAGAGGCAGAAGAGGAGGAGGATGCTGAGGGAGCGCAGCCCCTCCCCGCCGGCCGTCCAGACCAAGCGGCAGACGCCCCCGCCCGCCCCCCTGAGCACCCGCTACACCCCCGAGCAAATGAACAGCCTGCCCGAGCTGGAGGACAAGAAGAAGTTCCTCACCATGTTCAGCCTCTCCCACGTCAACACCCAGCAGAGGAGAGGTAGGCCCGGCCGCCCTCCCCCCTCGCCCCTCGCCCCTCGCCCCTCACCAGGGAGATGCCAAGGGCATATTGTTTTGGTCTATGTATGCGTTTAAATGAACAATTTACACAATGTGATCGTTCTAAAACCCCCTTAAACTTGGGTTTAAAACATAAATTCTAGTTTAGGATTTGAAATGGAACCTGCGCAAAAAATGACCTTAAAAGCTTCCGTCTCTATTTTATTCACTATAAAGACACTAATGGAGGCCAGACATAAGTAGAGTTCATCCTGAGTATGACTGTTGAACCTGTTAGGAAAAGCCTCTGAGAAACGCAGAGCCCCTAGCTGTCACCCTGGTGTTTAATCGGCACTGGGTGAAGGTCCAGCTCTGGGAGAGGGATTGTCATCTCTCCGGCCGGGCGGCTGCCCTCTGACAGTCAGGCCGAGTCCGGATAACCAGCAGCGGCCCAGGAGCTCCCGGCTGCCTCTGATCCCGGAGGATGTACTGTATGCTGCCCCCAGGCAGGTGTAGCAGCAGCACTGCCTGTGGTATTGAGGACGGCAGCGTTGTCTCGCTGTTAGAGCAGAGGATTAGTGACAGCGAGGACCAGAGGGAATTCGGGGCGAAATCCTGACATCTGTTATTAGCCAGTTCTCTGATGGATAATACTCAAGTGTAAAACGGGGAGAGTTCCACTTGGGAATAGATTCAGATTGGTCCTTTTTCATGCGGTTTAACAATCATTTATCAGTCAATATGGCCAGTTCCCTTTAAGGACTTAATTGTACAGGGAAAGTTTGCTGCTTTTAGCCCTGCCATCCCTATGTTTCAGATTTCCAGCTCAGCAGCAGGGTCCTCCGGTACGAAACCGTGCTAAAATGGTTCCTCTCATTATCTAGACAATGAAAAGGTGGTGGAGCTGCTGCAGGCTATAAAGCAGAAGAGTGTGACACTGGAGACTGTAAGACAGCCCGCCCAGCCTCTGGGCAAGAGCCCAGCCACCCCTCCCACAGGTAAGACACAGTGACATGGCTCCATTTGTCACAGCTTTGGGTTACATAGCCAGCACATTCCTAATGCACAAGGAAATGAGACAGAGGGATGAGCAGCGATCGAATGACAGAACACAGAGCAATTTAGATTTGGTTATCTTTTCACATTGAGGATTTCTGGGGGAAAAGTCGGAAATTGATCGTTTCTAACGGCACGGCCGTGTTTTCAGTGGAGACGATGGCAGGCCTCCCTCCCGCAGACGTGGACAGGCCGCCCAGTGTCCGGCTTCCCTCCCCCCCTCTCCCGGACGCCCCGAAGGCTGTGGAGCGGCTGAAGCCCCCCGAAGCCCCGAGACCGAAGGAGCCTTCCTGCAGCGGGGACAAGGCCAGGCCGAGCGACGGCCACACTGCCAAGAGGAGCCCCAGCCTGCTGAACAGCATGCGGCCCCCCCACGCCCACAAGGAGGGGCCCCAGTGCCGGAATGGCAAGACCCGGCCCTGGGAGAGCGTCAGCGCCGAGGAGTTCGCCCAGCAGTTCCACGAGTCGGTGCTGCAGTCCACCCAGAAGGCCCTGCAGAAGCACAAAGGTACGGCCACTCCTCCCCAGCGGGCTGGAGACTGATCCGCTGCCTCGCTTCGCGGGGAGCGACAGGCTGCAGCCGCTGTTCGCAGTAAAGGTGGAAAAAATCATCTTGAGGGGAAAGCTGGTTTTGAACTGAGGGATGGAGGTCCAGGGAAAAGCAGCTCTTTTCCTTCTTTGCTGGTCGAGGCAGTTTCCTGACGAGCAGGGTTTCGAGCAGGGTTTCGAGCAGGGTTGAGCAGGGTTTCTCTGCCCGCGGCCTGGGGTGTTAATGTCGCCCCCCTCTCTCTCCCAGGGGGCTTCACAGGGGCGGCGGAGCCGAACCACAAGCTGGACTCCCTGGTGCACTACAACATTCCAGAGCTGCAGGCCTCCCGGCCAGCGCTGCCCCAGCACAACGGGCAGCACTGCGCCCCGCCGGCCCGCAGAGAGGAGGCCTCCGGCGAGGAGGGCTCGGAAGAGGAGGAGGAGGAGGAAGAGGAGGAGGAGGAGGAAGCTCCGGCCCCCCGGTGGCAGGGGATCGAGGCGGTGTTTGAGGCCTACCAGGAGTACATTGACGGTGAGCGCAGACAGCCGTGCGTGCTGCAGTGCTGTCACTGACCGTTAAGGGAGGAAAGAGGAGCTCGGAGGGCTGCAGTCCTACCTCAGCAGGCTCACGGGAACATAGCGCAGGCTGAGCAATGCGCTAAGTCATCCTCTCATTTAGAAGAGTTGTTGAAGCAAAACGTTCTATAGTCAGCTTTCACAAAAATTCATTGCGTCTGCTTTTTCCACATGAACATGAGGCTTTTAACTCCCAGAAGACAGCTGACACAGACACCTTTCTTGTATACAGTAATTAGCCCATATGGCCAAATGATAAACCTTAAGAAAAACAGCAGATGTAGTTTCAGTGAGCTCCCACCAGAGGGTGCTATTCAGCTTCTATGTATTGCAAGCCCTGTTTCCAAACTGAGTCCACAAGACTGCTGGCACTGTGAGCAAACCACAGAATGCCAGGAAACCTAGAATTTAACTGGTCAAAGGAATTTCTGGTTTGAATGTGCCCCTGCCCCAGTGTGAGTCATGTCAAGCATTGCACGTAGCACTGCACACGTTTTCCTTAGAAAACATTTCACTTGGAGTGAAGGTATTGCTACATCTTTAATTGCTGAGGGGTTTACACACTGCACCCTCATCGTCATGACACAGATACAAGTTGCAATGCTTGATGGTCCTGGAAATAATTACGGCATTGCTATTTTTTTAAGTAAAGAGAATAAACTCGCCTTTGAAACACATCTCCTTACAGAGTAATGAGCCCCTGCGCTGCAGCCGCGGTGTTCAGCGCAGTGAGGGCCGCCCGTGGCGCTCAGCCTGTCTCTGGTGATTACTGCGCCGAGTGTCAGTGGAGATGCTAATGAGAGCTGGGGTGATTTCCACAGGCTCACAGGCTGTCTTCTTTCTCTCTCGCTCTCTGTCTGCATTTCCCAGAGCAAAGTATCGAGCGGCAGGTGCTGCAGACCCAGTGCAGGAGGCTGGAGGCTCACCACTATAATCTCAGTCTCACTGCGGAGCAGCTCTCGCACAGCATGGGGGTGAGTTTGCTTTCTGACTTAACAGCCCTCCTGAGACCCAGGCAGCCTCAGACCTTGATAACGCAGCCAGGCAGGAGATCATTACAAACTTCCCCTAAATCTGATGCAAGAACACCCGGCTCCACTCCCACATGCTGGCAGTGTTGATAAGGATGAGTGGGATACAGGGCAGCGCCAGCTGGCCTGGCTGCGGCGGACAGGCCTGACTGGACTGCAGTGGACAGGCCTGACTGGACTGCAGTGGAC